TGTGGCCTGGGCGGGGAGGTGGCGGCTGGGAGAGGCAGAGTGGGAAGGTGGGCTTGAGAGTGGACAGAACTCCCTGCAGCGGCTCCCTCCTGCCACCACAGAGGACAACAGGGAGCCCAGGGTCCCCGACCCGGCCCAGAAGTGTCCCCCATCCCTGCCCTGTGCAGTGCAGCTGACCACAGCCCATCGCCACTGACCCACGCCAGGCCGGACCAGGCGCTGCTGCGGGGTTTCACGCCCATCCACCCCTCCCATCCTCCCACTGCAGCTCCGTCCACCTCCTTCCTGGAGGCAGCTTGGCCAGCCGGGCCGCACATGGGCGACAGCACCGGCCACAGGGGTCAGGGTTCTGGTCGTGTCGCCCTCCTCCTGCCACCTCCCTGGGCATCGGGGGAAGCCCACCTTCCGCCCTCACGCCCGCCCTGAGGCTGCCCGGGCTGGTTCCCACCTCCCACGGGTGTCAGGCTTCCGCTAGCGCCCAGCCAGCGCTGGGAACTGGGCAATGGCGAAAGTGAAACTGACTCAGCCGGTTTCCCACCCCCAGGGAAACAGGGAGCAGGCCCTGTTGGACAACAACCAATTAGGCACTTTTATTGCCCACGCTGTCATAATCCTGCAGCTTGGCTGGGAGGAAGAGGAGGAAGTGGGACAGGACAGAGTTCCAGGATGCTTCCCACAGAGGCCCTGCTTCCGGCTGCCGGCCCCAGCACCACAGGCCTGGGCATCTGTGCATCCTTCAGGCAAACAACTGTCTGTCGATGCCAAGGACAGGCGGGGGCAGCATGACCTGTGTGTTCATGGAGCTTTGGGGCCCCTGGGAGCCAGGGAATGGCTGGTGCTCAGGAGCATGTGACTCTCAGACCAGCATCTCCTGGGGGATGGCGGTCGGGCCTCCTGCACCACACTGGAGGCTCCTTGAACGGGTGTCTGCCTGCGAGAGCTCTGTCCCGCATCACTACTGCCTGTGCACGGTGGCTGTGGCTCCGGCCCAAGGGGCTACACTCTGGTTGGGGAGCAACCCCAGCCTGTTGGGTTAGAAATCCCCACCTCCTAATGCAGGATGAAGACCCATCTCTGGGCTCCTCCTGGTGGCTCGGTATAGCTGTCCAGGCGTGGTGCATACCTGTGAGTCCAGCACTCAGGAGGATCTCTGGGAGCCCAGAGTCATCCTGCACTACATAGTGAGACCCTGTCTCAGACAAACAAGCAGGCCCAGGAGGGAGGGGTCTGGCGGGCCCTGTTCCAGGGTGATGCTCATCCGGCTTGTTGGGGGATCGGGGTGCAGGCGGGCAAAGGCCATGGTCCCTCCCAGGCCATGGATTCCAAATCACCTCAGAGATGAGGGGCCAGGGAGGCAAAAGCATGCAGGCTGTGACATCGGTGTGCAGAAGTGCCCGACAGGTGTGCGCAGGGGTCTGGTGACCGGGCTGGGCCCTGGTGGCCTCAGGTTCCTCTTCTCTCCTTCTTCTTGGCTTCCCAGTCATTGTGCAGAGAGCTGAGACCCAACCTGCTGTCAGCCCACGGAGCTGTGGAGAAAGGGAAACAGGTGACTGAGAGTCTGGATGAGCTGTGGAGGTGGGCGGGAATGGGGTGCAGTGGCCAGGCCCCTTCCACATCGCATGGGATGAACAGACTGGCTCTAGCTAATCGATAATATTTAAGCCGGGCACGGTGATGTGCCTCTGTGATACAAGCACTCTGGGAGGCTGAGGCAGGAGGATCCAAGTTCAATCTCAGTCTGGGTAATTTAGTGACTTAATGAAATTCTCTCTCAAAATTAAAAAATATAGGGCCAGGGATTTAGCACAGTGGTTCCGCCACCGGCCTTGCAAGCACAAGGTCCCGAGTTCTCTCCCAGGTACCACAAACAAAACAGTTTTTTAAATAATAATAAATAAATAAAAAGGGCCGGACCTAGGCATGGTGGCGCACACCTGGGAGGCTGAGGCTGGAGGGTCGCTCCAAGTGTGTGGCCAGCCTGGGTTACACAGTGAGTTCAAGGCCAGCCTGAACTGCACAGTGAGACCCCCGTCTCAAAAACAAAACAAATCAAAAAACAAAAAAGGCTGGCGATGTAGCTGAGTGCAGACACCCTGGGTCCGATCCCCAGAACCAGAAAAAGAACAAACAAAAGCCAGCACCGGGCGTGAGCACACACCCACCTCCCTGTCCCAGGCAGTCACACCCCGGCTTTGGGTGACCCTCAGCTGCTTCACACACTGATGCTGGTGCTGCTTCTCCTGGCTTGGGGGTAGGAGGGTTGGCGGCTGCTGGGAAGAGGAGGCGCTGCCACCCCACGCAGTCTGCCCCACTGGGGACCCTGGGTGGGACATGGCAGCCAGGGCCCCAGGGCCTCGGGCAGGCTGGGCAGGTGAGGGGGAGGAGCAGGGAGTGCCGAGTGCTATGAAGTTTTCGAGAAGACAGGACAGACAGAGAAGACAGGACAGACAGACACACTCACGCACATGCACGCCCATCCTGACCTCCGAGGGTGCTGTGAGTGGTGGGGGAGCCACGTGTGAGCACCTCTCTTCCCAGCTTCGCGCGGGAGTCACCTCCAGTGCTGCCATCTGTATGACTGATTTGGGGGTTAGGCTGGGTCTGGCTGTGTGGTCCAGGCTGGCCTCGAACTCACAGGGATCCTCCTCCCAAGTGCCCGGATGACAGGACTGCGCCTGCCAGCCTGGGGGGCCACCGGGGATCGAGCTCAGGACCTTGTGCTTTTGAGGCAGGCGTGGTACCACTGAGCTAAATCCCTGGCCTTTAAAATACTTTTTTATGAATCCACGTTCACATTTGCAACACATAATGGTTCCATTCATTATTATGAGGAGTCGGAGGACTATTATCTTGGTTCTTTTTACATTCACATTTCCCTCTTCCTCCTCCCCTACCATTGTAATTTTTTAATTAAAAGCAGGCATAAAATTAAAGTCACAAGAAGGAGGAGGAGGAAGAGGGAGAAGAAAAGGAAGAAGGAAGAGGGGCTCCCAGGTACCTCTGAGGAGGCCTTTGCTCGGGAATGTTCCTCCCTGCCCCTGCTGTCCCTGTCCCCGGCTCCCCGCCAGGCCTAGACAGGTCCCCTGCAGACCCCTGGGGAGCGGGGTGAGGTGGGTTCCTGACCACGGAGCCGGGTCCACAGGGGAAGCCGGACGGGTCCCTGCTTCATGGCAAGGACAGCATGAAAGGGTTGCTGGGCAGAGCTGGAGGTGCGGGAAAGCAGCAGGCCGGCGGTATGGGGGCACCAGGCTGAGTGGTGAGCTGTGGGGGAGACGCTGCTGACCCCGACACTGCGCCTGCTTCTTCCTCCTGAGCTGTGACCCCGAGCCACCCCGGTGCCCACACGTGGGAGGCGGATGGGGGTTGGACCCCCCCCCGGGGCCATGGGTTACCCGAAGTCATTTCAGTGGAAGAGAGAGGCGAGGCGAGGTGCGCGGGTCCCTGTCTGGGTCTGGCCACAGTGACTCAGGGAGCCGGGTGTCTGATTCCACAGGCCCAAATCCCCGGATCTCCAGGAATCTCTTCAAAGTTCCAAGTGTCCAGCCTCAAAGCCACCGACAGGTACGGATCTGCCCCTTCCCTGACCTCCCATTCCTGCCCTCTCCGTGCCCTCTGGCCTCTGACCCCAGGCTGATTGTGTCTCCTTCCCCACCCAGCCGTGCAGGGTCCACTTGGGCCAGGGCCTGTGTAGACCAGGGCACGCGGGGGCAGGAAGAGCCTGGAAGTCAGGAAAACCCAGTCCCCACCTGCTGGGACCTGGCCACCTGGGTCAGGGGAGAACTGACCGGGTCCCCAGAACACCTTTATCCAGCGCTGGGGAGGGTGTGAGTTAGAAGGAAGTATGCCTGGCCCGTCCCTCAGGGGCAGCACTGAGTTCCAGCCAACCCCTGCTCTGCAGAGGACCCGGGCCGGGCCAGCCGGTCTCGTCAAGGGCTCTCCAAGTTGAGGCACCTGAATAATGGCCCAACTTCTCATGTAGAAGGATCAAATAAATAAATCAAAAATCATAAACGGGAGCCAGGCGTGGTGGTGCTCGCCTGTCATCCCAGCGCTTGGGAAGCTGAGGCAGGAGGATTGATGTGAGTTCGAGGCCAGGCTGGGCTACATAGCCAGACCCCATCTCAAAAACAAAAAACACAAGGCCAAAGAAAAGCCAGAGGGCCCCTGAGGTGGTGCTTAAGTGTCCTCTCCTGCGGGTCTGCAGATGTGAGCATGGGTGCAGAGTCCAGCTTCCTGGTGGCCCGGGAACCATGGGGCAGTCTGGGTGCCTCTCGGGCTTTCTGGGGCCCTGGGTGCCTTCTCCCAGCCTTGGGAGCTGTGCTTTGGGCTATACCTGCCCAGGAAGCCCAGAGCCTGGCTGAGCCCCAGTCTTAGGCAGGAGGGAGGGGGTGGGATGTCTCTTCCGCCCGGTAGATTTAGTGACTGAGACAGGAGAGGGCCTGCCACCAGGCCCATAAATAAAGTGAGTCTCTCCTCCATCTGTGTTTATCTGTCTGGCCCGAGCTTCCGGGACAGGCAGTGTCTCCACAGCCCCACAGCAAACCCAAGCGCAGGCTGGCGGGGAGGCCCGGTCTCCCCCTTTCCCCTCCAGCGCCACATCTCTACTCTGCAAACTCCAGCCCCTTCCCCTTCCGCCCGGACCCTGACTCCAAGACTCCCCTCCTGTTCATCGTTCAAGGCTCCAGAGGGGAGACGAAGAGTAGGAACCGGGCCGAAGACCCTCACCCTGCTTTTTCCTCAGGCTGCCCTTAGATTTCAGGCTATCCTGTCAGGCTTTTCAGTGAATCACTAACAGCTGGGGCAGAGAAATGCAGAAGTGCAGGCTTCCGTCCCCACAGACTTAGTGAGTCAAGAAGGGCATGGTGGTGCACACCTGTGATCCCAGCACTGCAGAGGCTGAGGCAGGAGGATCTCTGCAAATTCAAGGCCAGCCTGGGCTACATAGGAAGACCCTGCCTCAAAAAAAAGCTTGAGAACAGCCAGTTGTGCTACATGAGCACCCAGCCCTGTGCCCAGGACATAGTTAACTGTTCAGTTAATGTCTCTTTTTTTTCTTGGTACCAGCAATCAAACTCAGGACCTTGTGCTTGTGAGGCAGGTACGGCACCACTGAACTAAATCCCCAGCCTAGTTCATGTCTTTTAATTGAATGCATTTCTACACAGTGTCTCCTCCTTCTTTCACCCAAATCTTCCCCTGTGCTCTCTCACAACCCCAAATCTACCAGGGGATTCCGAGTCCTTGTTTTCTGCCAGCACAGTAACACTGGAACACGTCAACTGGACCCTCCGTGTCACATGGCCCTGAGCACAACTTGGCACTCACAGAAGAGGATCTAATGGGACCCGAGGCTGGGGTCAAGCTGGTTAGTGGAGCGCTGCAGGGGGAAAGGTGACCCTCAGCTGCTCTCAGATGCCTCAGGGAACCACCTCCCCCAGGGGTCCTGTGCTGAGAGCGGACACTGGAAGAAGCCAGGAAAGGGGCAAATCACATAAAGAAAAATACTAAAGGGGCTGGGGATTTAGCTCAGTGGTTCCACTGCCTGCCTCACAATCACAAGGTCCCGAGTTCAATTTCCGATACAAAAGAAAAGAAAAATAGTAAAACCGTGCAGAAGGAAAGGCAGGGTAGGATGAGGTCGCAGGGCAAGCGGAGAGCGCAGCTGTTGCACGACTGAGGGCCTCCGAAACCTTCCACAGGATTCGGCGTCCCATGTTAGGAGCGAGCCAGGGAGTGGCTCTCCTCTCTCAGCCTCAGTTTCCCCCCTCTCTCAGCCTCAGTTTCCCCGGATGTTGAATGGATGTCTCTAGGGGGAAAGGACTCTGCCGTGGAGAGCTCTTCACTAATCCAGGCGCCCAGTATTGCTGGCATTTTTGTCTGCATTGCATTTGCCTTAATTTGCTGGGGCTGCATCAGCAAACAGAGCAGGCAAATGAACATAAAGTACCGAGGGCCAAGGGCCGGGGCGGTGAGGGTGGCGACGCCTGGGGCTTCAGGGGGGGACTTTAGGAGCCCAGGAGGGGACAGGGAACAAAGTACCCAGGCATTCTGGGGGTGGTGCAGGAGGAAGAACAGGGTTCTCCCAGGCCCCACGGGGCAGTAGGGGGCCTGGGAGCCAACTCCAGGAACGCACTGGAGGCAGAGGCCAGATGCCTGCCCCAGGAGGCCGGGAGAGCAGGGAGAGGTGGATGCCAGGCCAAGTTCCCAAGGAAGGAAGGAAAGGGCAGGGTGGCTCTGTCCCAGAGGTTCCTAGAAACTCCGGAGAGGTAGCTGTCCGTGTTCCCCTCCCCAGGGGAATGGTTCTGGGGAGCCAGGATTGAGGCAGGCTTCTCTGGTGGTGGGGGCTTTGTCACCCCCACGGGAATGCTCTGCCCTCAGGAGCCCAGTTTCTTGGTAGAGACGCGGCCTGTGCCTTTGGGAGGGCTCTATCCAGTGGAGGACAAGACTCATGCTCTCAGAATTACTTAGGAGGCCAGGCATAGTGCCACAGACTTGCCATCCCAGCACTCTAGGAGGCTGGGGCAGGAGGATTGCCAAGTTCAAGCCCAACCTGGGCAACTTAGTGACTTAGAGAGAGTCTGTATCAAGATAAACAGTTTTTTAAACCTTAAATTTTTTTCCCTTTCCGGTACGGGGGTGGTGGTGGTCAAACTCTGGCCCTTGCGCTTGCAAAGCAGGCGCTGGAACCACTGAGCTAAATCCCTGGCCCTGATACACAGTTTTTTAAAAAGGGCTGGGGGTGTAGCTCAGTGTGAAGGTCCTGGGCTCAATACCGGCAACTGCATATAAGTAAATAGATAGGAGGTGTTTCAGCAAGATCTCTGCTGGGGCAAATGGGTCGAGTGATGGAAGAGGCCCAGACGCACAGCAGTGCAGGGCTTCCTGGAGTGAAGATGGAGGAAGATGGACACCTGGGGCTTGTCCTCTGCACCCAGATCAGAGAGCACCCTTGTGAGAGCTGCTGAGGGTGAAGAGGGGCCAGGTGGCTCTCGGCCTTTGGAGCAAGGAAAAGTGGAGAGAGCCCCACATTGGAAGAGCCTTTTTTTGGCTTTTCTAGAAAGAGTTAACTGACATTCAGAAAAGCTGAGGCTCGGAGAAGAGAAATGACTTGCTCAAGATCACCCAGCAGGCCCAAGGCAAAGCTGAGACCAAAATCAGACCTGTCATCCCAGCTCCCTGGAGGCTGAGGCAGGAGGATTGCCGAGAGTTTGAGGCCAGCCTGAGCCACATAGTGAGATCCTGTCTCAAAAACAAAAAAACCTCAAAAAAACAACAGGAAAGAAATCCAACTTTTAAGACTCACTTTAGTAAGCTAGCGCTGTCCTCAGAGCTCTGGAGCCTGCCCTCCTCCAGGTGGGCTGTTAGGTAGAGCGGGAAAGTACCTTTGCAAGTCTCAAGGCCTCTCTTTCCCCATCTGCACCCCGGGCCCTTTCATCTGGGGAAGGAGCGGAAAGTCCTTTGCAGGAAGGTCCCAAAGGAGGCAAAGCGGAGGCTTGGTGGACTTGCTCCTGGCTCGCCTGTAGGGCTGGGTGGGGGACCGGGCCGGAAGCCAGAG